TATGGAGAGGCCCAAGATCACGCATGCCTCTGTGTGAATCTGTTGCAAGGACATTAATATGTCTAGGTTGTGGGCACAGCCTGCTCCAGTACTGAGTCTATAGACCTGTCATCTGCACTTCACATGGCAGATGGCTCCTCACACTCTTCCATTAACTGGCAATACTTCTAGGAGTAGACAGAAAAGATAAATCCACTTCCATGAAAATTTCGTGTTCTTATTATCAACACCTTTCTGCAGGCAAGAAGATAGAAACAGCAAAGCTCATATTACTGCTTCAGTGAGTTCCCCACACTGGTTATACTTTGAGGGTTTCCAATCAAAAAGTGGACAGTCCTGTCTGAATTGACCCTGCTCTTTCCTCCAGGATGTTTATTTGCCTAGGCAGCCTGAATTTCTGCCTTTCATGTGACAGGATCCTATATTGCATGACCATCTCAGGCTCTTTGCTGTGGTATCTGTTTATCAGATGGTTATTTTCTGTCTTCAAATCAAACCACCACTGGATGTAGTTACCTGGAAATTATTCTCCCTCTTGATAAATACAGGATCTCCACAGCTTCTGTAAAAATGGTCTAATTGGCTGAATGAGATAGAATTTCGAGGTAGACATCTGGCCCTATTGAATGCAATGCCAGAATTTACCTGGACTTGATAAAGACAAGGATTGTAATCTTTATATATTCCATTATCCTAAAATACTGGGCTGCCTTAAACCCAGATTGGCCTTTGAATCAGATGTGTATACATCTGTGCACCTGCTCACACACCAACAAAGCACTATCATTTCCTGCAATTCTCACTTTTCTATGGTCTTGCAGAAATTCTCTGTTGTATGACAATAGTTTCCTCCTGCCAGGTATCCCTGCTTTGCTCAAAAAAAATTTTCATCTTTTTAAAAATTGATGATTTTGGTTTTCTAAAACCAAATCTGCCAGCCCTGTACGAGTTCTTCAGATACATATACTGTCTTTCAAATGGCAGTGCACATACAAATGACATTCTTATATTTAATTCAGTATGAAACTCAGAAAGCTAAAATAGTAATGGAATATTTGAATATTAATGAAATTAAATGTCTCAATCCACCCTTTTGCCCTCCTTTTAAAAATTTTGTAATTTTTTTAGTCCAGGACCTGCTGATCTTTTGTGCGCTAAAAGGACATGTTGCCTCCTACTGTGCTCCAGGCATAGATTTAGCAAGGGAAGGTGCCTCCCATTAGTACCATCCTGTCAGGTACCCGCTGCAAGTCAAGTTACCCTGGAACTAGCTCATGCCTGTGTCAGCATCACCTCCTCACAGACCTGCAGGCATCCAGCCCTGTATCACTCTGTCCCTTCCAAAGGTCTATGTACATAAACTATTTATCTTTCCTGCTCACCTGGGCCATTGTTAGTTAACCCATTAGATCACATTGTTAGTGATGCCAAAGTATGCAGGGAAGAAAACTAGCAAGCAAATCAGTTGGGTACTGTGTGAAGCTTTGAAACTACATGAAGCCAGAACTCATAATGTCTGAATTTTTAGCATCTTGACAGCTGCTGTTCAGAGGCTCCCTGGCAGCTTTTTGGCCAGCAATATGCCACTGCTATGCCTCTCATCCACATTGTCTAAATCAGAGATCTGAGTGGCAGCGTTGACATAAGTCAAGCCAGCAGCTTAGAGGACAGGCAAACCTTGGAGGAAGCAACAGTCTCTTGGGTATTAACCAATCTACTTTTTTACTTGAATCTGTGTAGAATGCACTTTTTCCTCTCTTGCTTACATTTCCTGGGCATATGCTGTCTCCATTAAACCTTTACAGCAATGGGGCCAATTGCTTAGCTTTCATATAGGACTAAGGACACCCTTGCTGGCAATACCAGTAGAAACAGGTAGAAAATATAATGAACAGGCCCATGTTTCCTCCCCAGTCGCTTCAGAGCATTTCTGTAGGCTTGATTCTCTAAGGTCCTTCCCCTGAAGCTCGTGGCTCATTTTCTCAAGTACAGAAACCGACCTAACCTTGTTTCTCCAACAGGCTAGCCCCTCAAACCTTCTTTCCCTTTCCCCCATGGCTTGTCCCTCTTTTTCTCTCTTTTGCTCTGTTTCCCAGAGAAATTCAGGAATTAATCTGCACGGCTTTACCTGAACTCTTTGTCCAGCCTTTTTTTGTCCTCTACCTTTCTGTTCTCCTTGCTTTGCCAGACAGGACCGACAAAACTGGTTCTCACTCAGGGTTTCGTTAATCTCCTTGTCAAAAGGAAACAGGACTCCTTTTGTTCTGGATCTGACTCCTGTGAAGTGCTGCAATCATGGCCCCTTCCAATTCAGTAGATAACACAAGCTTAAGGCTAAATCTTAATAGTCCCCATTAAGCATTTAATGATCGACTCATTTCAGGTCTGTGAGGAACCTTACCAGCAGTGCTGTGTATATGTTTGCACAGAGAGATCCCTTAGAGATACCCACTAAAGATACATAGCAAACTCACCAGAAAGCAGCACCTGTAGACACACATCCCCTTCACAGTCACACCCTGCTTCCAGTCACACCCATTCAAATTCAAAAAGTGAAACCATGATGCAAAACTGGAATGACAATGGATTCACAGGTTCACAGTGCCACGGGATAATTCAGGTTGGAAGGGACTGCAGGAGGTCAGTGTCAGCCATGAGGTCAGACCAGACTGCTCAGGGCTTTATCCAGTCTGATTTTGAATCCAGATGGAGCCAAATACAGTTTTGGACATACATAGGTGTAACAGAAAGTACAATACCTCTCCGGGTCAAAGTTAAATGCCAAAATAGTATATTAAGCCTCCCACTCTTCTATTTTCCAATGGAGATCTGATTTTGGTACAGTTCTCAGGCTGAGATCCAGGCTCTTTAGATGAGCTTGCATGGCGTGATGCTTATTGCACTACTTGGCCATGAGCAGAAGGCACTGCTGTGACAGATGCAGTCTCCACGACAGTGACAAATTGCTCACAAGGAAAATTATCAATAGAAGACCACCACTGCATTACCAATTTGCTTTTCTCTGGAGATATATTGGTAAATAGACATGCTGTAACATGGAAAGCTAAGAAATACTGACTAAATAACAAAGTCTAGTGATTCTTAAAATATAAAAGAGAAGCAGTGTATTGGACCAGATGCCTTGTGAACCAAGAGTCCTCCCATTTTAAACTATCTCCTGCAAGGTGATGGAAAAGGTGCTCCAGAGTAGCAGTTTATACAGTACCAGGAATCAACAGAAATACTAGAAGTTATGAATGTCCTCTGGAATCAACTGCCTCGATTAGCAAAGCACGGTGACCACCAGCAAGAAAAACATTCAGAGCTGCTTCCCATGTTACTGTGTTGGTAGCACCTCAAGACACAAGCTGTTAGTTAAAAGCATGTGCAACTGGCAGGATTCAGCTACAAATTCAGATGTAAATTTAGGTGTCTGATTATCAGTGTCTATATGTGCTCTTGTGACTTAATTCAGTTGTTTGGATCTTGAGTGTTGTTTGAGATGTTATATGAGAGCTGATGTCCAATGGGTAGCCCAGAAGAGTGTTGGTCTACCATTTGGCCTTTCAACATCAAGAAGGTATCTCAAATATTCTAAGATGCCTGAAGCTGGACTAGACACCCATGCCTAGGCAAGTAAGTAGCAGCTTAGTCTACATTGTCATTATTTAGTGAGGATCTCCTGAAAACAGTCAGTGGAACTAGACAGTGATTTGACTTAACTTAAACAGACACGTTTGTTCAGCATTAATCGAACCCTGCCCTTAGTGTCATTTCAGACACCATGGAACATTAGAGATACCTGCACAGGGTTAACAGATGTGACATGTCGGAGATTTGTTGCCTTCTGGACCAGCAGCTGCAGATCAGAAAGGGTACCCTGGGGCCCTGCCTGCCTTTGGCCAACCAGATAGAGCCCTCGTTATACTTTATATCATAGGCAACCGGCCTTTGATAGTTGTGCTGCTCAGGGAACAACTTCTCAGTCATGTCGTTATCTTCCTAGTAAGCTCCTGTGCAAAAGCCTTATCAGCTTTGGCATATACAGGACTTCCATGTGTCCTCCCATGGCCTTCAGTGTTAGCATCTTCATCGCTGCTCCCAGGCATTCTCCTGGCTTGTAGGGTTTAGCCACGTCCCCAGGAAGTGTGGTCACTTATCTTAAATACGTATCTATACTTGGACACTCTTGACTGAGAGACAACGTAGATATCTCAGAGCTTCTGCCAAATTTTATGTAAGCTTTAAACTGGTGTGAAAACAATGAGACTTACTCTACCCGCAGAAGGAGTATTTGCAAAGCATTTGGAGTCATTTACTGATAGAACTGATGAAAATGACCTTTAGCAAGCCCTTCTGACTTCTGCTAAAACACCTATGTGTTGGAGTTAAAATCTGCAAGACTTTATCCAGCTTCTGCATGTTTAGCTCTACCATGAGTAGAAGACAGACAGACAGATTTGTCGATATGTACCTTGAGCACAAAGGAGACACACAGTAGAAAGGAGACAGACTTGTTCCTGTAATGGACACTAACTACTTCTTTATAAAGTTTTTCTTTAATTCAGATGGCTCCTTACAGGTTTCTCTGCTTCTTAATTTCACATATTTAATTTCACTCTTTTAGGCCATCTTAGGGAAAGGAGAGGCTTGAGGACTTATACCAAAACAGACAGATGGTGTCAGAGGTGTTCAAGGATTCTGCTATGGATATCCCAGAAAATGGCTATATAGAAGGAATATTTCTTCAGTCAGAAGCAGTACAATCGGAATATCCATCACAGTTCAACTATTAAACTTACAACCCTTCCTAGTCTTTTGGATTTGCCATGCACAGCTTTCCCCAAGCAGAGAAGTAACGAGCAGTCAGTACCTTCTATTTTAGGCTTATGCAGGAACCTCTTGTATGATTTCTGATCTCACCCAAGTTATTAAATTCCACCAGAGTGCTCCTGCAGTACAGAAAAGTTGATCTGAATGTAGTGGTTTGTGAGGTTTGGCTATAAGTGAGATTTGGCTAAAAATTGAAAAGGTGTATGAATCACTCTGAAAAACGAGCAGGGAAGAAACCAGGCATTCATGCTTTTCAGCAAAGTTATTGATGGTATATTCGTCTCCAGGACATTACCCTGTGCTGGAAAGCCACAGCTAGGTAATTTCTTAGCTAAAGTGGTAGCCACAAGCCTGCTATAACCCTTCCTCCGATGCTCTGGGAGAGTGTAACCATGAATCATGGTGGCAAACTGGTCTGTCAGGCTCCAGGAGAGGGGATACTCATTGTCATCCAAGACACAGACACTGGGGAAGCAGCAAATGAGGTTAGCAAGGTACTTCTGGCTCCTTGGGTTGCCCCCCCCCATGACCAGGTTTTGCTGAGCAGGCTGGCATGGGAGATGTCCAGGTAAGTCAGTGTTAATTTAGGGTCCATCCTAAGAGACAATACAGAAAGTGTATTAGGCAGAAAGCTGTCCCTCCTAACCTCCAAGCAACTGCACTAGATTTAAAGCTGTCTTCTCCAGACGAACAGATTTCCAAGTTTATATCATAAAGCAGAATCAAAGAGAGCTGAGTTCATTGGGCTGGAGGTTTGGGAATAATTACAGAGGGAAGTGCCTCTTCGATCTAGGTCTTTGTTTATATAAAATCCTGAGTCCACACAACACACTCCAGAGGTGCCTTATTCCTTACAGGAAAAGTGGAGAATACGTTAAGGAAGGCAAGGAGCCCCAGTGACACATTAGGTGGCACAGGAGAGTGGAAAGGATTTGATTTCCAGTCTCTCATCCTCCAAGGCTGATAGCTTTCTGGATTTTGAATCCACTGCTGAGAAATTTATTCCACAAAAAATGGAGCCTCTGGTTCCCCTACTCTTCTGCTCTGATGTCAGACCGATACCTAACTGGCAGATGGACGTTAGAAAACTTACAAGACTTCGAGCAGTCATGTAAAGCCTCCTTGTGAAAAACAAACTTTGCAGGAGTCCTGGGTCCAAATATCAAATCTAAGGAGCTTTGACAGAGGAAGGTCAAAGGAGATGGAAACCAGACCTGTGGATTCCATGTATAGACAAAGAGAAGAGGGGATGAGGACTATTCTGGAATATAAAACTGCAAAAGTGATAGACGGATTAAAGAAAAATCTTGGGGGATTTTTAAGTATTTAAGGGAATAGTTCCTCCCTACCAAGTAAGTCCTCAGTCAGGTTTTTGACCCAGTCAGAGAAAGACTAGCAGTCTTCCTGATTTTTTTTATGAAAATATATTTTCAGGAAATATATTGCTATAGTAAGGACATCAACAAAAGACATGGCGTGCTTAGACGTACTGAAGTCTGACATCTGGCAGCATGTCCAGGTCTGAATGGATAACCATCTGGAAACAGGATATTTTCACATCTACCTTCTTAGATAAAGCCACTGTTCTGGATATTTCACATATTCCATCCTGGAGCCCTATGTATACAAAGATAAATACTGAAGCACTTTAAAAAAAAAGCTGCTTTTTTTTTTTTTTTTTTT